CTGTCATGTAGCTAGCTTTGACTGTCTAGGCCCAGGTGTTTCCCCTTAACAATGTGTGGGTCAAACTGACTGTGTCTGGCTTGTGTTTTAAAAATATGCAGTGATTCCAACTTGCTTCAAGGACTTCAAGGCTGTCATGTCTGGGGGAAGACTGGCCCAGTCAAGAACACTTTCACCTCTACCTACTCTTCTCAGACCCCTCCCTCCCAGAATGTTCCTGTACAAACCTGCCTGACAGTGTTGACATCATTCTTGTATCCCGTGTAACCAATCACGTAATAACCCGCTATCAGCTTTGTACTTCCCACTTGCAACCCATACTTAAACTGAACCCAAACCTGACTCTGGACTGGTGCTTTGAACCTTTGGGCTCCCCAGCCCACTAGAGTAATAAGAGTTGCCTTCTACCTCCTCAGTGCAAAGAGTCTTCCATTGGGATTGATAATGGTTTCTCCACTACAATAGAAGTAGCAGACCGTATATTTCACAATGTTGTCAGGAGAATACATGAGCTTATCCAAGAAGCACACAGTAAACTGAACCACTTATTGGTATTGTTACTGTTAATATTCTCATCCCCAGTTCCTTCCCTGATACCCTTAGTACCTCAACTCCCTGAAGGACTCACTCTGCTCCTCCCCGGTGCCTGTCCTTGCCCCTGAGGACCAGCCCACTACCCCGGGAGCTGGGGTTTTATCTGAGGCACCACAGAACACTTACATGGACATCTTTTATGACGTTTCTTCTGTGTGCTTTGCATTATGTCTACTCAGGAGCTTGTCTCTTTTCCTCTACTGCACCAAAGAGTCCCTTGGACAGCTGCACTGCCATTAGCAGTGAACATAGTGTCGTGTATAAACTGGCCTTCCACAAATACGCATTGAAAGAAAAAATGAGTCTTTCTGAGGACCCAGGAATGCCGACCCAGGGCTTAGCAGGTCCTTGTTCAGCCTCGACAGGCACAAAGAACCTGGAGACTGGCCTCTCCCACTATAGCCTCCCCTCCCGTGGCCTCCCTCAGTGGATGACGTAAGAGCCCTGACCCCTGGAACTCTGCATTCCAGCCTTACCTGCAGTAATCTAGGACAAGAAAATGCAATCCACTGAACTGCAGAGCCTTCCCAAGTCGCCCCAGCGACCACTGGTCCATCTGGCAATCAATGATTTCCAGGGTGGTGAATGGGCAGGGTGTGCGCCCCGTCAATTCCAGAAGGCAAGACTACGAGACAAGGTTAAAACCCAATTACCTTGCGCTGACAAATATACTCTAGACTTCCATGTCTTGCTCAGAAAGTCAGTGGTGTTAGTTATGGGGACATTTTTGCCCCCAAGATAGTTTTCTAATTGCCAACGAAGAGGTAAAAAGCAAATTCCTTAAAAACAAAGATTTGCTGGGTATGGTGGTGCAGGCCTCTGATCCCAGCTCATGGGGAGCCTGAAGTAGGAGGATTGCAAGCTTGAGGAAAACCTGGTCAGTTTAGGGGGACCCTGACTCAAAATAAGATTAGAAAAGGGCTGCGCGGCTCTTTTTATAAGTGTTAATATTACTGTGAGTGTAGCTCCGTGGTAGAGTAATGGAGACCACTACGAGGTGGCTCTGAGCAGGATTTACATTGACCAATTGGTTTTTCATGTTTCCTTATGAGTCTGCCCAAGGCCCAGGGCCCTTGTCTAGAGCTGGCAGTCTGTAATGGCGGGTGAGGCCTTGGCACCTCAAAGGAAAAGACAAGGGCTAAGGACACCTATCTCTAACCTCAATTAGCTAGATAAAGACTGCAACGCAGGCGTCTCACTCTTGGGTTATGCAGTTCAGGCTGGCCTTGAGCTCACTTCGTAGCCCAGGCTGGTCTTGAACTTACAACGATCCTCCTGCCTCAGTCTCCCAGGTGCTGGGATTACAGGTGTGCATCACCATGCCCAGTTTAGAAGTTCCTGGTCTTAGCCCCCATGGAATCTTGAATTCTGTTAGAGGGTTTGGAACTTCCCATAGCCCTAAAATCAAACCACTTGACGGTATTATTTCAGCCTTCAGGGTCCACTCCTTTGGGAGATTGCAGGCCTGATCAGTCTGCAACAAGCAGGAGATAATATTAACCCAATAGCAGAGCACTTGCCTAGCATGTGCAAGGCCCTTGATCACCAGCACTGCAACACAAACAAACTTTTAAAAAATCCCACAGATTCTTTGAGGATCGATATGGGCAACACCAATCTTTATGATGCGATAGGATTTACTTCAGGATATTATTTTAGATGCTGTTGAATGCCCCTCATCCATATGTGACTGTTAGAGACAGGGGATTTAAAGAGATGAGTTAAAACAAGATCACAGGGGCTTGAGGGGATGCACATCCTAACCCAGTATGACTGATATCCTTATAAGAGGAGGAAATATGGACACAGATGTCCAGAGCAAAGACTATGTGAAAAGTCAGGAGAAAAACCAGCCAACTGCAAGCCAGAAAAAGAGGCCTCCGATGAAGCCAGCTCTGACTGTACCTTGATTTCCAGCTCAGTCTCCACAGTGTGAGAAAATAACTGCTGTTCACGCCATCTGGCCTGCGATTCCGTTGTGACAACCCCTAGCAGACTAAGACAGATGTACCCTCCCATGATGTGTTCCTAGACCAGAGGTGTGGCTGAGGCCAGTCTTACCGTAAAAATGATGATAAACTATTTGTTATCTCCAGCCATGCATATCATCAGGGCTGGGAGGTTTGTACAGAATGGAGCTGTGTCACTTCAGCATGTACTGCGTCCCAAGCACCCGCACTGGGAACAGTTCAGGGCACTGGGGCTCAGGGCTCTATGGAAGTCATTTCTGCGGTAACTAGGGATGCCCGCTGCGGAGGACCATCTGGAGGGCTCTCCTTGAAAGAAGAGCATTTGGCTCCACTTCTGTGTGCTGATATGTACAGAGCTGGTAAGGACATTTCCTTATCCTCTCAGTTGGCGTTAAGCAATGCAAACGGGTCTAGCCCAGGTGTCGATTTGTAGTCTCTAAAGCAATGGACGGGTCAGTGATGCCCTGCCTGTAGCTCCCAAGTAGTGTGTGTGAGCTAGGCTGAGGGAGGCCATCCTATCGGATGAGACTGAGTTTGGAGGGCCAGGGATTTAGCTCAGCGGCAAAGTGCCTGCCTGGCAAGCATGAGGTTGTGAGTTCGATTCCTGGTACTGAGACTGAGCTTGGAGAATGAAGCGGTGACATCTCAGGGCGTGGCAATTACATATCAAAACACTGACCAAAAAAAAAAAAAAACCAAAAAAACCCACCAACACCAGAACACTAGACACTGTCCCAGTCTGTGTCATGCAGATTACTCTTTCTGCACCTCGTTCTCTGCATATTGCAGAGGCGATTTCAGGCCTCTTACCCAGCCCAGCTCACATACTTCCTGCCATTCTCACAGTCACTCATCCCCCAGGGGCGTGGTGGCCTTTGTTTCCGTTACCCATTGTTCTATCTGTATTTAGGATTCCATTGGCTCCCCACAACTACAAACATGCCCTAGTGTCTTTATTCTCACCGTGGATTGCCCTGGAAGTGGTAGATTGGAATTAACTCGCTCAATCTCCAATAACTTTCCCCTGGGATTACAAATGTGGACTCCTCTGGGACTGTGACAAGGTCCGGAAGGGCTATCTATAGCCCAAGTTAAATCCCTCCCTAACTGAAAGAAGAGGGGATTTAAAACTGCAAATTATAAGCCAGTCATGAAGGCTGCCTTTTAGCTATTAGAACCCCCACTTCCTGAAGGTTCCTTAGCTCAGCACTGAAGCCTAGAGGAGGCTTTGGTGGGACTCGGAAAATGTAGGGGTTTTCTGGGCAATGGCACGAGGGTCAGATATAGGATTCCAAATAGTATGTTGGCTGAGACTATAGAGGCACAAGCAACTGTAACTTCGCAGGCCAGATGGCCGAGGCCTGGGTGAGGAGAGATAACCAGTCTGCTGCTGGATTGGATTTTTCCAGCTGTGCATCTGCCGAAGAAACCGAGGCTGCATTCAGGGCCTGAGGTAAGCAGGCAGGGAGCAGGCCTCAGAGCTCTGAGTCAGAGGTTTGCTCTCTGGCACCAGCACGGTGGGGCAGGGAGGACAGCACTCCAAGACAGATCCCTCAGTGCCGCATCCAGCACAGCTCTTGAAACTCCAGAGGGAGAACGTTGAAGGGCGAAGAAAAGAAGAGTCAAGACGCAGAAAGTTGAGGTCAGGTGCAGCCCCTTGCCCAGCGTGAGTAAGGACCAACAGCTGCAGTGCATTTACTGATACCATCAGCAGAAGAGAGTTTTAAGGGAGGGTAAGATCGGGAACAGGAAGAACATCTAATCTTCAACAAAGCATCATGCCTTGATTACATGGGGAACAAGAGATGAGTTGTGTATATTATCTCAGGGGAAGGCCAAGTCTCTTTGTGCGTCAGCTGCCTGAGCTCCGTACACTTCTCACGGGGCCCTGCCAAACTCATGAGAAGTAGTGACGTTGTCCCGAGTATAGACAGCTTCACTCCCAACATCTCAGTAGCCCTGATTCGCAAGAGGGCTATGTGTTAGGGGACTGGGAGAGGGCAGGTTAAACATGCATAGGCAATATTCTATCTCTGACTTTGGGGGACTGGGCACCTTGACTGACTCTCTGAATAAAATCAACTGACTCTCTGAATAAAACATGCTGCTTGCGTATTTAAATTTGTTTAGATTTATTTTCTCTTTCTCTCTCCTTCCTTCCTTCCTTCCTTCCTTTTTCCTTTCTTTCTTTCTTTTTTTTTTGGGGGGTGGTACCAGGAATCAAACTCAGGACTTGCACTTGCCAGGCAGGCACTGTGCCACTGAGCTTAATCCTCAGCGCCCTTACTTTTTAACTGTGGCAAAATATACCTAAGTAACATTCACTGTTGTAGCCAGTTTTAAGGGGACGGTTCAGTGGTGTAAACACATTCACACTGCTGTACAACCATCACCAGCACCCATGCCTAGGACTATTTTCCTCTGGCAAAATTGAAACTCTGTGCAGATTAAACAATAACCCACCCCTCCCCTTGACACCGCTGCCCACCCTCAGGGCCACCATTCTACTTCCTATGACTCTGACCACCTGGGTACCTCACAGAAAGGGAATTACACAGCTTTTGTGCTCTTGTGACGGCTTGTTTCACACAGCACCATGTCCTGAAGGGTCGTTCCGTGCTGCAGCACAGGTCAGAAGGTCTCTCCTCGTTGTGTTTTATTCATCCATTCATCTGCCAGTGGGCAGTCAATGGCTTCTACCTTCTGACTGTTACGAATTATGTGCTACGAACATGGGTGTACAACTATCTCCTTGAGACCAACCCTGTTTTCAGCTCTTTTGGGCAGTGAATTGGAAGTAGAGTTTCTGGACCATATGGTATTTCTAGTTTTAATTTTCTGAGGAATCTCTGCTGTTTTCCACAGCAGTTGTACTATTTTATATTGCCACCGACAGTACCCAAGACCTCCGGTTTCCCCACATCCTCACCAACACTTGTTATTTTCTGCTTTCTTGTTACTAGCCCTTCTAATGGGTGTGAGGTGGTATGTCATAGCTTGTCGGTATCTTACTGAGGATTTCTGCATGTATGTTCATTAGGGAGATTGTCATTTTCCAGTTTTTGGAGGTATAGAGCTGTTAGTTGGCATTTTGAAAAGATACTGTGGCTGCCTTGCATGTTTCTATTGAAAAGTCGGACACACCAGTCTTGTTGTTGCTTCTCTGAAGGTATGGATACTCCTTGACTTAGGATGGGGTTGTGTCCTGAAGGACCCCTGTATCCTAAATCAAAATGCACGTCGTATGCCTCACCTGTGGAACTCTGGTTTAGCTCAGCCTGCCTTACACATACCCAGGACACTTGCATTAGCTTGTGGTGGAACAAAATCGTCTAACACACAGTCTGTTTATAATAAGGTGTTGAATGATTTTACCACCATGAAGTCAAAAAGTTGTAAGTTGAACCATCCTATGCCAGGGATTATCTCTACTGTGTTTTTGAAAGACCGATTTAAAACTTTTCTCTATATCTTCGGTTTTCAGTAGTTTTGCTATGATATTTTAAAATTTTCTTTGTATTTCACTTAATAGCTCTACTTGAATCTGTTTATGCCTTTCACTAAAAGTTCTGATCAGATAATTCAGACCGACTCTCTCCCTCATGATAATACAACACACACACACACACACACACGCACACACACGGCAGGTGATCGCAGAAAGGATGTGAGTATTGCTTTGTTAAGTATTGCTTTCATTCTATGCTCATCCTCCTCCCCCCAGGACTAAGGATGTGAGTGCTACATCCATTTATTTTCCTGAAGATTGAATCCAGGGAGTACTGAGTTACATCTCTATCCCCCTCACTTTTTTTTTTGTTTTGTTTTTTTTTCTGGTACCGGGAATTGAACTCACGACCTCGCGCTTGCCGGGGAAGGGGCTGTGCTGCTGAGCTAAATCCCCAGCCCTTCTTTATCCCCTTTTAAAAATTTTATTTTGAGAGAGGGTCTTGCTAAATTGCTTAGGCTGGCTTTGAACTTGAGATTCTTTGCCTCTGTTTGCCAAGTAGCAGGGATTACAGGTCTATGCCTATAATAATCTGAATTTTTAATTTTATTTCATGCTTCACTCTTGACTCTGTCTTCTAACTTCATCATTTTACTAATTATCTCTCTAAATCTGTCTAAGGGCTGGGGAGATAGCTCAGTGGCATAGTGCCTGCCTGGCAAGCTCAAGGTCCTGAGTTCGATTCCTGGTACTAAAAAAACAAAAATCTATCTAAAATACTGTTGTATCCCTTTCACTGAGATTTTTTATTCAATTATTGTACTGAATTTTTCAGTTCTAGAATGTCCATTTAGTTCTTTTCCTAGTTTCTAGGGGTTTTTCCTCAAAACACGATTTTGGCTCATATTTGTTTAAATATTGTAAGCACAGATCTTTAAAAGCATATGTGTGATAATGCAAACATCTGACTCTTCATGGGCTGTTTATTGAATGCACTGTTTCTACCGTGCGAATCGTTTGTGTTTGAACTGTCTTGCCTCCTCACACAGTACAGATACATTGGATTTTTTGCTTTACAAAATTTTTATAGGCATAATCTCAGGTCTAAGGGAGTATTGTCATTTGCTTCTGGACCCATGGGAGCACCAGAAACCTAATCCAATTTCAGGACTTGAGGTGGTGACTCAAAGTAACCCACAGTCCCTTAGGCACCTGTCTGCATGTGGCTCCGCTTCATTCTTAGGCTGTGGTCCTTCAGGGTCTCAACCCAAAGCGACAGAAGTTTCCTTAGAGCTTCCTCAAAAAGGAGTGTGGGAAGGATTAGCCAAAGCACCGTTCAGCAGCTCAAGTTTCTCACTGCCTTCTTTTAAATCAAATGCCTGGGGCCTAACTGTCCCTGTATTATTTTCTTCCTGGGTCTGCATCCTCCCTGAGATCATCTACCGTGTGTGTGTGTGTGTGTGTGTGTGTGTGTGTGTGTGTGTTTTGTATTATCATTATTGAGAGTTGGTCTGAATGATCTGATTTGTCTTTCCAGAGTGAAGTCCTTGTCATTAACAATGACAGAAGTTAAAAAAAGGTAACCCATAATTGCATATGTGATGTGGGGTGTGATAAGTCAAATTTAATGAACACGGGAAATCTTGACAGCCTAATGTGAATAAAAATGTAAGTCACAAAACAGTACAGGCCAGGAGTGGTGGCACATGCCTGTAATCCCAGTACTCAGGAGGCCGAGGCAGGAGGATCGTTGTGAGTTTGAGGCCAGCCTGGGCTACAAAGTGAGCTCAAGGCCAGTCTGAACTGCATAGCAAGACCCTGTTTCAAAAAGATAAAAAAAAAAAGCCAAAAACCCCCCTCCAAAACCCCCAAAACTGTACAATTCCACTCATGTAAATATACATAACTTTGATACACATCGCTTTTTTTCTATTCTTCAGCAGAAATAATATTTTTATTAGTACATTTTGCAGTATGTAATGACTACATTCGTTCTGGGGAGTGGGTACATAATATATCTTCATTCTTTCCATTTTCCCTTTCCCTCTCCTCCCTTCCGCCTTCCTCTATCTCTAGATCCCACTCCCATTTACAAAAGACCTAGCTCCCTATCTGCAATTGTCTATCTCTTACCCTACCCTTTAACTTACGTTAGGTTTCTCATGTGAGAAGCTATGTGACATTTAAGCTTGCGTGTCTGATTTATTTACCTAACATGACGGTCTCATGGCACATGCATTTTCCTTCAAATGACTCAAATGTGTCCTTCTTTAAGGCAGAGTAGTACTCCAATGTGCATAAATACCACATCATCTCTATTTATTCACCTGTGAATGGATGTATGGGACATTTCCAAGATTTAGTTGTAAGTTGTGCTGCTGTAAACTTGGGTGTGTGCGATACACATCAGCTTCGGGCTAGTGGTACCTCCAGGAAGTAGACAGGGGAAAGAAGTGAAATGAAGTCTAAGCTATTATTCATGCAGCTACCTGAAAATTTTTTTCCTTAAAAATGTATATTACATCTGTGTGGTGAGTGCACAGATGTAAGTTCTACTATCTTTTTGTATTTCAAATATTTCATTAAAAATACAGTATTTGTTAGAAAAGCAAGCCTTGCAGTCAGTCAGCAACCAAATAGGCCACAACTGGATTACATATTGGATTCAATTTGTGTGTGTGTGTGTGTGTGT